GCCTGTCTATCTGGCGCATGGTAGCTGCGTGTACCTACATTTACAAGCTACTGTGCTCCAATCCTACCAGCCCACTTCGTCAGCTCTTGTCTCCCTCTCAAGCCCCCCGACCAACCCATGTTCGACCCACTCTTCTCTCTCTCTTCTGTCTTGACATGCATAACTACCAGCTTGAGACAGGGCTACCTGTCAACAGCTGGGAAAGTTGCGGTAGAGCCTTCCCCGCCTGCGCTGTCCCTGTATGGATCGCCCTACCACCCGCCGTCCTCAGCCAGCCATCTGACCGGAAACGGCTGCAAAGTTTCAAAGTGTCTGTCTTCCGGCACCTCCGTACTCAGCAATGGCACTGGGCCACTGACACTCTGTAATATGTATGCACCTCTGCTTACAAACTGCTGCATATTGCCATACGCCTTGTGCCCTGCTTATCCTCTGGATCTGAATGTGCACCCCTTACGCATTATATAATTATACTATATTTAGTTCTCTCCCCTCTCTTGAACCCTCAAGCTCTCTCGCTCTCTCGCTCTCTCTCCCTCTCTCCCTCTCTCCCCTCTCCCCCTCTCCCCCTCTCCCCCTCTCCCCCTCTCCCTCTCTCCCTCTCTCCCTCTCTCCCTCTCTCCCTCTCTCCCTCTCTCCCTCTCTCCCTCTCTCCCTCTCTCCCTCTCTCCCTCCCTCCCTCCCTCCCTCCCTCCCTCCCTCTCTCTCTCTCTCTCTCTCTCTCTCTCTCTCTCTCTCTCTCTCTCTCTCTCTCTCTCTCTCTCTCTCTCTCTCTCTCTCTCTCTCTCTCTCTCTCTCTCTCTCTCTCTCTCTCTCTCTCTCTCTCTCTCTATCTATCTCCCTATCTCTCTCTCTCTCTCTCTCTCTCTCTCTCTCTCTCTCTCTCTCTATCTATCTCTGCTATTGGCACGCCTGGTTGTGATGAAGCCGAGACCCAAGGTCGGCAGAGCATCCCAGACCACGCCACCACTCCCCTTATTCATGGCTCACACATGACGGGTTAACGTGGGTCTAATAAAAAAATAAAAAATAAATAAAAAATAAAAAAACACCTACGAGACCATCTGAACCTGGCCTAAGCAAATGAACACAAAATATGCACTAAAAAACCCATCATTATTAGATTAGGCCACCTAGAATTAATTCGTTGTTTCGGGTCACTTCACTCATCTGTACCAGGGTCGGTCGGTCGGCTTTATTTTTTATTTTATTTTATTTTTATTTGGTTACTGCGGTGTGCATACATGATTGTGCATATCCAATGGCTTTTGTCCATCAATCCAGTCGATCAAATCTTACTGTAGACGATCCAGCGCAGTCATTGTCCCATCGATCAGATCCAGGACCAGATCTTTGCCTCGCTGGCGAACGAGTCTGACGAGCAGCTCTCACCAACACCTTTGTCATTAATGAGCGACGCGGTGGCGGAGCTGATGCTGTTTCAGGACCGATTGCGGATCGGAGATAAAAGAAGACAACCAGTTACCTCTTCACCAAGCGCTGCATCCTGTCATTTGGCTGCTTCTTAGCATGAGGTCAATGTCTGGAATTAGGATCGCGTGTGTGTAGTCGTACTTTTGCATGCACAATATAAAAAAAAACATTTTGCGGTCGGGTGAAAAAAGACGGTCGGTCGGGTGACCCGAAACAACGAATTAATTCTGGGTGGCCTTATCAGATACGAGAGCTTTGAGAAACCAGATATCAGGAATACATGATATTGAAAAGACAACATGGATGAGACATAAAAATAATAATGAAGCAACGTGAAGATAGAAATCACACAGGTAGAGAGTACAACCAAAATACCATCATTCAATACATTTCCCGTTTAATAAATATCTTGTACCCAGGGAAGGTTATTTTGGATGGGGTCAGAGAGAAAGGAGGCCAGGTAGGATGGGGAGGGGGGGGGGAGGAGGAAAGGCATTATCTCTCGCTTACCTGGATGGAAAGTGAAGACGGGAGATGTAGTAGATGTGACATTTTCCTTTCTCTTGTCACCAGCCACAGCAGCTGTTGAGTAAGTATATGTGAAGTTATACTGAATTGGACTACCACCTAACTCTTCAACAGGTACTTGCACTCTTGAATCATTTGTACTCTTCACTACCACAACTGTACGATTCATTACTGGATTCTTGAAGACAAACACAACTTCATCATACGAATCCATTAATGGTGCTGGTGGTGATGGTGGTTTTAAGATGTCGATATTGTTATCACCCGTTGATTCATAGCTACGCCACACACCAGTAACTCCAGGGATACTTGGTGTGGTGCCGGTGTAGTTAAAGTCTAAGTTCACAGCACTACTTGCTACTACCATTGATGATGAGTATGAAGGTGATAACTTATCATTGCCACTAGTACCACGGTCACTGGTGTTGTTGTCTCTCAGACCATCAATGACAGCAACATAGTAACCAAATGTCACATTCTCTAACAAAACTGGAAACTGCATAGCCAGTAAACCAGTGCCTTGTAGACCTGTTGGCAGCAATGACTGATTCTTTTCATTCCACATCAGAATGGAATATCGATATGATTGGATGTCATTACGTACATTAGCTGACACATCTTGAAGGTCAGGCAGAGGAACGGCCAGATTCCCGAGAGTTGCTGTGCAAAAACAAACACGGAGAAATCGAAAATCGACTGTTGTGAAATAGGTTTCAGTGTGTGTGGTGTGCGGTGGATGTGGAGGTGGGGGTGGGAGCTGAAAGAGATGTAACATAAGTTATTCAAAGCTACGTTTGACACTGCATGAATAAACACGGTATACATATGTCGATTAACGCTCATCTTGTCGATTGCGGGGGGTTTCAGAGATAGACATTGGATATTTAGGAAATCGTGAAATCTATAAGGCTAACCTTTTACCATAGACTATAACAAAATATTCTTTGACGCCCTATGTTCGGCTTTCATCATTTCCAGTACTCAACAACAACAACAAATGGAAACAAGGTATTGGCACCGGGTGGTATCACCCATGTTACTGCATAATAAAGGTGACTAACATTGAAAACCAACAACACATGCTAGGTACATAACTTCGTTGCTACTAGCTCCAGAACGAAAAATTATTCCAAAATCCATGGAAACTTTTGTAAAGTTCAGAAAGAATGAGAGAGTTTGTTGCTGGCAACACACCGGCTTGCACATCACGAAGAGCTCATTTTCAGCAAGCGATGGAAAATGTTCTATCTGAAATCATCCAATCTAGTTTGGCATGCACCAATTTGAATGACAATGGCTCCCCAGGAATATACCATAACCCCAGTAACCCAAACAAGAGGGCTTGGAAGCTCAGGGCCCTACGCTATGCTTTTCGGCGAGCGAAAGCGATGCAAACTGAACTCTCTGCTCATTCTGCCACTAGTTTCTCTTGTAAAGACGCTGTACATGAGCTGAACTACCTTCGTCCAGTGGTTTGCAGTCGATACAAACTGTTCTTGACTTGTTCTAAGTGTTTTCATATCCATCAAAAACCATCACAAAGTTCTTGTTAGCGGAGGAAGATTTTGTGGACCCTGGGTAGCTAGAGGCAGACGTTACTGCACTATTGCCCTGCATGCATTCGCCCGATACACTTCGCATACATATATGCCATGCCTATACAGTCTCTCATTTCTTGGTGCTGACCGCTTTAATGCTATTCATAATGCTACTGTACATATTCATTCTCTTCATGGTACGGTACGGGACAGATATGGAAGAGCGCCAGGCGTGGCAAAAAAACAAAAAAACACGAAATAAAAGCTGTGTGGACCATGGCAAGCGCTAGACGTTACTGAAGTAAGGTCTTCTGCATAGCTACGGGAATTAAACCTAAGCTAAATGTGTCATGCCTTACCTGGTTGGAAAGTGAAGATGGGAGATGTAGTAGATGTGACATTTTCCTTTCTCTTGTCACCAGCCACAGCAGCTGTTGAGTAAGTATATGTGAAGTTATACTGAATTGGACTACCACCTAACTCTTCAACAGGTACTTGCACTCTTGAATCATTTGTACTCTTCACTACCACAACTGTACGATTCAATACTGGATTCTTGAAGACAAACACAACTTCATCATACGAATCCATTAATGGTGCTGGTGGTGATGGTGGTTTTAAGATGTCGATAGTGTTATCACCAGTTGATTCATAGCTACGCCACACACCAGTAACTCCAGGGATACTTGGTGTGGTGCCAGTGTAGTTAAAGTCTAAGTTCACAGCACTGCTTGCTACTACCATTGATGATGAGTATGAAGGTGATAACTTATCATTGCCACTAGTACCATGGTCACTGGTGCTGTTGTTTCTCAGACCATCAATGACAGCAACATAGTAACCAAATGTCACATTCTCTAACAAAACTGGAAACTGCATAGCCAGTAAACCAGTGCCTTGTAGACCTGTTGGCAGCAATGACTGATTCTTTTCATTCCACATCAGAATGGAATAACGATATGATTGGATGTCATTACGTACATTAGCTGACACATCTTGAAGATCAGGCAGAGGAACGGCAAGATTCCCGAGAGTTGCTGTGCAAAAACAAACACGGAGAAATCGAAAATCGACTGTTGTGAAATAGGTTTCAGTGTGTGTGGTGTGCGGTGGATGTGGAGTTGGGGGTGGGAGCTGAAAGAGATGTAACATAAGTTATTCGAAGCTACGTTTGACACTGCATGAATAAACACGGTATACATATGTCGATTAACGCTCATCTTAGTGATTGCGGGGGTTTTCAGAGATAGACATTGGATATTTAGGAAATCGTGAAATCTATAAGGCTAACCTTTTACCATAGACTATTACAAAATATTCTTTGACGCCCTATGTTCGGCTTTCATCATTTCCAGTACTCAAAGCAATGATATGGAAACAAGGTATTGGTACCGGGTGGTATCACCCATGTTACTGCATAATAAAGGTGACTAACATTGACAACCAAAAACACATGTTAGTTCCATAAATTCGTTGCTACTAGCGCCAGACGAAAAATTATTCCAAAATCCATGGAAACTTTTGTAAAGTTCAGAAAGAATGAGAGAGTTCGTTGCTAGCAACACACCGGCTTGCACATCACGAAGAGTTCATTTTCAGCAAGCGATGGAAAATGTTCTATCTGAAATCATCCAATCTAGTTTGGCATGCACCAATTTGAATGACAATGGCTCCCCAGGAATATACCATAACCCCAGTAACCCAAACGAGAGAGCTTGGAAGCTCAGGGCCCTACGCTATGCTTTTAGGCGAGCAAAAGCGATGCAAACTGAACTCTCTGCTCGTTCTGCCACTAGTTTCTCTTGTAAAGACGCTGTACATGAGCTGAACTACCTTCGTCAAGTGGTTTGCAGTCGATACAAACTGTTCTTGACCTGTTCTAAGCGTTTTCATATCCATCAAAACCAACACAAAGTTTTTGTTAACGGAGGAAGATTTTGTGGACCCTGGGTAGCTAGCGGCAGACGTTACTGCACCATCGCCCTGCATGCTCCTCGCAACGCCGGGGAACCAGTTTAACCCGCAACATGCGCACCATAAACCTTCCAGAATTTCGGGATGAGCTTGCCAATGCCAACCTGAGCGTGTTCCAATCGACGTCCAATCGACTTCCTCCACTGATGAGATGTGGAGCACTTGGCACACTAAATTCATGTGTGCTCTTGACAGACATGCCCCTCTCAAATCCACCAGCAGGAAGGCGAGCTCATATCCCCCATGGTCTGACAGGGAATTGTACCAATTCCAGTGTCGCAAGAAAAGGCTACATCACCAGTGGCTTCAGAAGAAGGACAGCACCCATCTTTACTCGGCATTCAGGTGTGCCCGTGCGGCTGCCAGAAATGCCTATCGTAGGAAACGCAATGAGTATTTCCAAATCCAATGTGCTGAACATAGTCGCAATCCACGCAAACTGTGGCATATCATCAACACTGTAACATCTCGAACTCGCCAACGTATTGAGCCAACGTGTGATGTGGAGGATGTCGCCACAGCCTTCAGTAAAGTTGTGACTGATAATGATAGACCCCCTGTGCTCACCATGCCACAGGGTCCATCACGCCCCACAGCATTATCAGCTTTCCAGTATGTCCAAACCAACTCTGTTTATCGTTTCCTGAGAGGCATCAATGCAGCCAAGGCCACAGGCAGTGACAGCATCCCAGGAGTACTTCTGAAGTGCTGTGCTGATATCATTGCTCCGTCTGTTGCTGCTCTCTTCAATGCCTCACTATCCCGTGGTACAGTACCCTCTGCCTTCAAGCTTGCACACGTATCACCGCTATATAAAGCTGGTGACCCAGCAGTTCCCACTCACTTCCGTCCCATTTCCCTTCTCCCAATCCTGTCCAAGCTTTTAGAGAAGCTAGTGCAGAAGGAACTTGTATCAGTCATGAACATCACGGAGTCACTTCCCTCCACTCAGTTTGCATTTCGCAGCGGCCATTCCACTGAGGATGCACTAGCTCTCATCACCAACCGTATCCTTACTGCCCGGGACAAACGAATGTACACAGGTGTCTGCTTACTGGACATGTCCAAAGCATTCGATAAAGTTAGACATCACCAACTAATTCTCGACCTCTTCAATGTGGGTGTCACGGCCACAGCCCTGCGGTGGTTCATTTCTTACCTCTCCGAACGGACCCAGCGTGTGTGTATCGGACCATCACGCAGCACTATCACTCTCTGCACCTGCGGAGTGCCACAGGGATCTGTGCTCGGCCCCATTTTGTTCAACATATACACTCGGGAAATACCCTATGTTGCTGGACATGCTTTGTCTTTGCAGTTTGCAGATGACATTGGTCTCACTTGCAGCAAACCGACTAAGTCTGAAGTGTCTGCAATTCTGTCTGCGTCAGGTTCAGCTATTGCTAACTGGCTAAACGACCGTGGCTTGATCCTGAATGCTTCCAAAAGCCAGGTGATCTCCATTTCCGGGAACCTACCTGAGAAGCATACTCCACTCTCGGTGAACTGTAACGGGACCCTGCTGCCTCTTGTGGAGTCTGCCAGCTACCTTGGCGTAACATTTGATAGCAACATGTCTTGGGATGACCACGTAACCCGCTGTGCAAACCGTGTATCACGAAAGATCGGAGTCCTGTGGAGGATGCGGCGTTGCCTCAGCACACAGGGTCGGATAACTTATTTCCAGTCCATCATAATGCCCGATCTTCTATATGGATCAAATGCATTTTCGACATCTCTGGCAGCCAGGCACTGTCATCGACTACAGGTTCTGCAAAACCGTGTTGCCCGTGTAGTGTTCGGACGCCCGCCGTGGACATCCGCACATGACCTACTGGAGCGCCTCTCACTGTATCGGGTTACCGAAGTGTACAAGCAGAAGCTGGCATTCCTTGCATGGCGCTGCCGTTACGGCCAAGCAAGTCCTGAGCTTCAGGTTCTCTTACTGCCAGCTTGTGGCCGGTCCACGCGCCTGGACTCCAGCATGGGTCTCTGCCTGCCACCCGCCCGCAGCAACTCTGGAAAGGGGACATTCGCCTTCCAGGGTGCGCTATGCTGGAACAACCTGCCAAGCAGTATTCGCTCCATCTCTGTTCCTCGTCAATTCCGTGCTGCCGCAGTCCCGTTTCTTCTATGAACTGAGAACATTGCAAAGCAATTGTATGTGTGGCTGTCAATGTACATGTGTGTGTGTGTGTGTGTGTGTGTTGTGTGTGTGTGTGGGGGGGGGGGGGTATGTGTCTAAGTATGTGTGTATTGGTGCGTAGGTGTGGGTATGTACATGTAGATGTATGTGTGTGTGTTTGTGGGTGTAGGTGTGGATGTGTGGATGTGTGGGTGTGTGGGTGTGTGGATGTGTGGATGTGTGGGCGTACATGTAGATGTGCAATGCTTCGATTTCTCTATCTTCTCTTCTCTTCTCTCTTCCTTTCGGGGTCTCCCGCTTCTGGGCCGGCATGGCCCATGCTTCATGCGTGCTTGTTCCTGGTGTTGTTTTGTCTACTGTGTCCTGCCACTACTCCGGCTTTGGCCGTGACCACGATGTGTCTCCCCATTTTCTCCTTCATCCTTTCCTTTGTCTTTTTGCTAAAAGCTTTCTTCTCGCCGTGACCACGATTTTTCTTCTTCTTCTTCTTCTCCATTATTCTTTTTCTTTCCTTCCTTTCTCTTCTTCCTTTGCCGAGAACCTTCTGTTCCCATTATTTTCTTTTCATCTCTGTCCCCATTCCTGGGTTATTTGGACTTCATTCGCTTCCTTGTCATTGGACATGTTCAGTCCGTTCGGTTTGCGAATTTAAATAAACACAACCCATGCATTCCCCCTATACTCTTCGCATACATATATGCCATGCCTATACAGTCTCTCATTCCTTGGTGCTGACCGCTTTAATGCTATACATAATGCTACTGTACATATTCATTCTCTTCATGCTAAGGTACGGGACAGATACTGGAGAGCGCTAGGCGTGGCAAAAACAAAAAAAACACGAAATAAAAGCTGTGTGGACCATGGCTAGCGCTAGACGTTACTGAAGTAAGGTCTTCTGCATAGCTACGGGAATTAAACCTAAGCTAAATGTGTCATGTCTTACCTGGTTGGAAAGTGAAGACTGGAGATGTAGTAGATGTGACATTTTCCTTTCTCTTGTCACCAACCACAGCAGCTGTTGAGTAAGTAAAAAAAATTATGTGAAGTTATACTAAATCGGACTACCACCTAACTCTTCAACAGGTACTTGCACTCTTGAATCATTTGTACTCTTCACTACCACAACTGTACGATTCATTACTGGATTCTTGAAGACAAACACAACTTCATCATAGGAATCCCTTAATGGTGCTGGTGGTGATGGTGGTTTTAAGATGTCGATAGTGTTATCACCCGTTGATTCATAGCTACGCCACACACCAGTAACTCCAGGGATACTTGGTGTGGTGCCAGTGTAGTTAAAGTCTAAGTTCACAGCACTCACCTTCACATCCGGGAAATTTATAACCCGGGGCTCCGGGGCACTGCTGCTGAGGTACTCCGTTGCTGGCTCCCTTCAGCCGGTACCCGTCGTTGCAGTAGGACGATACGTTTGTACTGCTATGCACTACAATACCACCAGAGGACTTAACGTCGTATACACCAAAGTCACATGGAGGGCATTCAGTCTCTGCAAAGAACATCAAAGGGCAAACGATCGTTTTATTTGTTGAATTTTATTTTACTTCGTTTTGTAATGGATGACGAAGGCTCCTGTGCCGACGCCGACGACGAAGACGATGACGACGAGGACACTTTTCAAAAATTTGAAAATAGTTCAGATCAATGCCCGGAGTCTCCGACCACGGCAAACAGAGCTGTCGAAACTGGTTGTCGAGAAAGACGTGGACGTCTTAGTGGTTCTCGAGTCATGGATCAAACAGGATTCCAAAGAGGGTCTGCCAAAGCTACCCGGACTTACAGCAGCTGCTTGGAAACACCGAAATATTACGTACAAAAACGGTCACGGAGGAGGAGTCATTGTGTATGTGAACAGCCGTCGTATGAGTTATGCTAAAGTAGATCTCGTTAGCCAACCTGCCAATGGAGTGGACATGTGCTGTGTAAAGATATTCCCTGAAGGCGATCTGAAATCCCCCCATGAGTCCATCGTCATTTGTGGGGTGTATGCTCCGCCAGAGCTGACTGGATCCGGTGGTGGAAGTGTGTACCGACAGAGAACTGTATACTATGTGCTGATGTCAACTGTTGTGGATCCTGGAGCTCCTTTGGAACGCCTACTACATGCGGGGATAACCTAGATATGTGGATGGTGTCCAGAAACATGATTGTAGCCAACGAGCCGTTGATGGCAACCAGAGTATGCCCCTCATCAGGCAGCCTCAGCTCACCGGATCTGACAGCAATTCCCAGCAATCTTGTATCATCAGCAGTGTGGTTGACTGGTGACGACATTGGCAGCGACCACCTCCCTATTATCCTCACCATCAAGGAAATACAGGTCCGTGCACGGCGTGAGACTAAGTGGGCTTTCAAGAAAGCGAAGTGGGATTTGTTTGCAATGGTGCTGGACCGCCAGCTTGATAAAGTCGTGAAGTCTGACAAAATTGATGAAGCCGTGGACAACTTGACAAAAACCATTCAACAGCTCTCGCCACGGCAGTACCCAGAGGCTGCCGAAGAACCGAACGTTTCTGGTGGTGTGATGAAGTTGAAGCCGCTGTCTCGGCGCGCAGGAAAGCACTCAAAGAAATGCAGAGATCCACCACCACTACCACCAAAGAAATGTATCAGTCAGCTTGCGAAGAAGTATCAAAGGTTACCAGAGAATGTAAACGCAGAACATGGCGGGAATACTGTGACAAGCTGAACCAATCCAAATCCTCAAAGGAGGCATGGCAGACAGTCGCCAGACTGGACGGCCAGCAGGGACCTTCCCAATCTTCCTCTGATGTTCTCATCATCAATGGAAAGACATACTGCACCGAGCAAGAGAAAGCCCGTGCTTTCAATAACCATCAGACGCGCTCACAACACCGAGTGGAACAGACCATCACAACTGAAGAGCGGCAAATGACAAGACAGCAGTGTCGCTCAACCCTAATCACTGCAAAAGTACAATCCCAATGTCTGAACGCACAAGAAGAGGTCAGTGTCCGGTCATTACTGGGAACCAAGATCGATCTCAAGATTCAGGATAGTTGTGGTGGCAGCCAGTGGTTTAGGGGAACAGTAATTCAACATAAGATGCAGGAGGGTCCTGATGGTGTGGTCCTTGTAAAGTGGGCAAATGGTGACCGGGAGGAACTTCTCAACTTGGCGAAGGAAGACTGGAAGACAGTTGACAGCAGCAATGACACCAGGCTAGTGTTCGAATCTGAATTCTCCGAGTCTGAAGTTAAACATGTCGTAAAATCAATGGTTTGTACCAAGTCCGGCGGACCAGACGGTATGCCCCTGCAAGTGCTATGTCATCTGACAGACATGGCCATCTCCGAACTTTGTCGCATTATTAACCTGTCCTGGACCACTGGTTATTGTCCAAGAGCTTGGGAAACCAGCCGACTTGTCCCTGTACCCAAGCCCAAACCAGGTGCATTTAGACCTATCAGCCTAACAAATGCTCTCGGTCGAGTTACGGACCGACTGGTGACAAGGCGCTTGACCCATTTCATGGAGCAATTTGAATTCATTCCCGGCGAACAAGCTGGTTTCCGTAGAGCCATGAGCACAGAAATGCAATGCTGCTCTCTTGTCGAATGGGTCGCCCAGAAGCAGCAAGCAGGTCACCAGGTAAACTGCGTTTTCCTAGACGCATCAGCAGCGTATGACAATGTTAATCACGACATCTTGATGGCTAGGCTCGGATCTCTAGACCCACCAGCTCGATTAACTCGGTGGATCAATTCCTTCATCCGTGGACGAATCGTAGACACGAAGTGGGGTACAACAGTCAGCGGCAAGAGAACAGTGCACCGTGGTGTGCCACAAGGGGTGTCAATCTCGCCCATGCTCTGGTTAGTGTACACGGCTTCGATTTTTGACAGCCTGGCTCTTCCAAGTCTATCGCAACATCAGGTGGACGTCATGCCGTTCATGTACGCAGATGACATCGCCCTCGCTGTGTCAAGCAAGAATGTGTCAGCTATGCAACTCACTATGCAGGAATTGCTGGACCACGTCTCTGATTTCTGTCGCCGTAGCTGCATTGCACTTAACCCGTCGAAGTCAGTACAAGTTGTTATTTAACAACTTCTTACCGAGTTCCACACTTGTCTTTGCACCAGTTCCTCAACAACGTTGCTATACCATCAGCTTCCTCAACCCGCTTCCTGGAGATCGTTGTGAATGCCAACATGAACTTTTCTGAGCAATGTTTAGCTGCCCGTCAACGCATCCACCAGCGTCTGCGAGTCATCCAGGCCACGCCTGGTCGGGAGTGGGGCTTGGACCAACAATCAACGATGCGCCTCATCAACCAGTATGTACTATCATCCGGGTTATATGGCGCGGCTGCATACTATGGCCTCACAACGAACAGTGGAAAACGACTGCTGGAGACAGCTTACAACCAGTGCCTGCGCGGCGCTACAGGATGTGTGCCTTCTACACCACTGACCAAGCTCTACGAGGTCGCAGGTGCTCCGTCCCTGCATACAAAGATCACACGCCAGGCTGGGAATTTGGCCAATATTGCTCATCGTCACAACACCCCAACCCCTGCTCGCACCGTTCTCTCCACTCAGGTTCCTCAACGCATACGCCAGGACAAGACCACTTGGCACCAGTTAGCCCAGGAGACTTTGCCTACTCAGCAATTTCTCCCGCTGCCTTTGCGATCACCGCCATGGGCAATGGTGGAGAACTTGACGATCCACATCACTGACTGCAGCAGAGATGATCCCCCGCATGTCCGGTTGTCTGCAGCCCTGGAGTGCCTGGACAAAGTTTCCTCTCTTTGTGCTCAATCTAAGTCATATGAAGTCTGGACAGATGGTAGTGTCACTGATGAGGGTACAGGAGGAAGTGGCTATCTTGTCATCAAAGTCACTGATGGCCAACGCTCTGAAGTGTGCAGTGGAAGCGATCCTGCAGGCGTGGTAGCAACTTCCTTCACCGCCGAGGTAACTGCAGCAGTGGCCGGTTGCTCTGCGGCAGGAGATCTACTTACGGCTGGCCTCACCAACACAGATGATCAACCCTCGCTGCCAGACCTCATCCTCGTTACGGACAGTCGTTTGTTGACTGATTCTGTTGCCGGCGATCCGTACCGTATGAGCCCAGATACGATTCCTGTGTTTGAGGCTATCAAGAGCATTAGCCAGCTTGTTACCAGCATCCACCTTGTCTGGGTAAGCAGTCACTGTGGCTTATTCCTCAATGACAAAGTAGATCGCCTGGCTGCGGCTGGTACCCAGGTTCCCCAGGGTCACGTCCGTCTTCCAGTGCAAGCCACCAAGACTGCAGTCCGCAAGGCAACACGGTGCCCGCCACCACTGCTCGACACCAAGAAGCTCGGTGACCTTCGGACACGGAAAGCGTCCTGCAAGCTGAACCAGCTGATGACCGGCCACTGTAGTCTTCTGAATGGCTACCTCCACCGCATTGGAGCTGCAGACTCGCCTCACTGTGTCTTCTGCCCTGGCGTCGTCGAGGATGCAATGCACTTCCTTTTCGACTGCCCAGGAAGAGCACAAAGCCGCCACTCTGCAGCTCTTCAGTCGTCTCCATCCGTCAGTCAAGCTGTAGCCGACTCTCCCTACAAAATTGCACGATTCTTGCAGTTGGAGAAACTGCTATGAAGTTTCGAACACAGTCTTGAAACACGATACATGATGAATTGCTGCTATTATTATGTTAACTCTCATTACTGCGGTATTACCTTCCACATAGTCATTAGTCTAGCATGGCGTCATATATTTGTCTCAATTCAGTGTTTTCCGAAGAATAAAAAAAAAAAATTTTTTTACTTCACTAATTGGTTGGTTGGTCGCCTTCTTGCCGGCCAATAGGTCCGGTTCTCACAGAAATATGAAGGAAATTATGTGAAAAAATGGAGGCGTATCCAATTTCGAAAGAAAAGGTGTCAACACCGACGCAATCCACACAGTCAAGTAAGCCAATTTAGTAACCGAACGTTTTCATTCCCTTCTCATCATGGGTAAGTGCAGGGAATAATGGAAAAATGTCAAAATACAGCAACTTATAGAGCCACAGCAAAAGCATAGATCGAAAACCTCACGCTACAAGTGTGGGAAAAAATATAATTCCGCAGAGCTTGTCAAAAAAAACAGGGTGAAGGTGAAGAAATGACTAAAACATAATGAAAACATCAGTGAGGAGAAACATTCCTGACACTTTCACGAGGATTAGCGCCAAACAACTGAAGTGACAAACATTATCCTTCTGAACACATAGTTTAGGGGACAACTTACGAATATATAACGCTTCCAAAAAGGACAAATGTACAGATCTGCCATGGGCCAAAACTGAGAAAACATCATCTTTATACAACTCACGATAACTATCACTAACCAACGGATGACTCTTGATAGTCGATTGCTGATTGTTAGAATGTCGCGTCTTTTTCGTCACCTCCAATGTTGCAGCTCTTGACCCGTCCTTTCCACTGGGCAGTCACCTTGTAGTCACTTCCGATGCGGCAGGTCCTGACTCGTCCCCTCCACCACACCGCTTGGTCACACGTCCGGTGTCTGATTCTTCCGTTGTCTTGATCAATGGCTTTCGTGGTGGTCTGGCGACTGCCCAGTGGAAAGGACGGGTCAAGAGCTGCGACATTGGAGGTGACGAAAAAGACGCGACATTCTAACAATCAGCAATCGGCTATCAAGAGTCATCTGTCGGTTAGTGATAGTTATCGTGAGTTGTATACAGATGATGTTTTCTCAGTTATGGCCCATGGCAGATCTGTACATTTGTCCTTTTTGGAAGCGTTATATATTCGTAAGTTGTCCCCTAAACTATGTGTTCAGAAGGATAATGTTTGTCACTTCAGTTGTTTGGTGCTAATCCTCGTGAAAGTGTCAGGAATGTTTCTCCTCCCTGATGTTTTCATTATGTTTTAGTCATTTCTTCACCTTCACCCTGTTTTTTTTTGACAAGCTCTGCTGAATTTTATTTTTTCCCACACTTGTAGCGTGAGGTTTTCGATCTACGCTTTTGCTGTAGCTCTAGAAGTTGCTGTATTTTGGACATTTTTTCCATTACTCCCTGTACTTACCCATGATGAGAAGGGAACGAAAACGTTCGGTTACCAAATTGGCTTACTTGACTGTGAGGATTGCGTCGGTGCTGACACCTTTCTTTTGAAATTATATGAGGAAATGTATAGGAATAAAACCATGCAAGCGGTATAGTAATAATTATTATTATAGAAATGACTTTTGTGTGTGTTTGCTGACACTCATTTTTTGTGTGAATTATTTTAATTGTGATAGCCTATAGTAGATAGTGAAGACACTCACAACACATGTCAGTTCTGAGAGCCCTGTAAGCTCTGTAAGCCCTGTAAGCCAGAGCAGCCAGAGCCACCGTACATGTTTGTGTTGTTGTTGTTGCTGCTGTTTTTGCCAGTTATTGGCCCTTCAGTGCTAGGCTGCTGTTCAAATCAGGCTTGTATTCAGGCCAGTATGAAACAATGTTTTAGCGACTTCAGCCGATAATAGAGACAGTGTGCATGGTTCCCTACATGGGAGCTCGCATCACAGGGGCGTCGGAAGGCAATTTAGTGTGGAAGTTTAGAGCCCAAATCAGTGCATTTTATTGATTCACGGGGTACTTGGGGCAAAAGGTGGTACAGTCAATACCATAGTGACTGTACCGTGTGCAACGCACCTGCACCATCAAGGCTAACAGGAACACGTGTTCAAAGCAGCTATCACCAGGCATGCCAGCACAAACACCAGACTTATGTACAGACAGTCAGTCAATCTTGAAAATCAGGCTCTTCATCACAACAGTCTTCTAAACAAAATAGGCTTTTGTAGAAAATAATTGAGGACAGTCGGTCAATCTTGAAGAAAGCTTTACGGTTCGCGTGACACTCGGCTGGAGGCCAAGTTTTCGCATCAGCAGGAACGCCACCACCCTTCAAGGATCAAGGCGCAGATGCAGCTTCTAAAGCGGTGGGAGGTGAGTAGATCTTGAAAATCAGTCTCTTAATCACAACAGTCTTCTAAACAAAATCGGCTTGTGTAGAAAATAATTTAATTCCCGTAGCTATGCAGAAGACGTTACTTCAGTAACGTCTGGCGCTAGTCAGGGTCCACACAGCTTTAAGTTGGTGTTTGTGTGTTTGTTTGTGTCACGCCTGGGGCTATCCGTATCTGACGGCAAAAAAGTATAGGATGTTATAAATTTTTCAATTCTCCTTTTTTTCAGGCATATTTTGGGATTCGAACCCGCACTATCGCCCTACATGCATTCCCCCATACACTTCGCATTCATACCCATTCTTCCAAGTTGCTTTAGGTTATTATCTTGCGTTTGAAAGCCCTATTTGAATATTGCGGGCAGCTGTATGTGGCCAGCTGTGTTTGATGGTACGGTACGGTACGGGAGACGGTGTCGTATTACCCTCGATCGTACCTGTCCCGTACCTATCCCCTACCGTACCGTGCCATCAAAGACGGCTGGCCACAATGCATATTCAAATAGGGCTTTCAAACACAAGATCACAATGTGAAACAACTTGGAAGAATTAGTATGTATGCGAAGTGTATCGGGGGATGCATGCAGGGCGCCCGATAGTGCGGGTTCGAATCCCAGGTTATGTCTTGAAAAAAAAGGAATTTTTTAAAGAATTTATGACATCCCTATGCTTTTTTTTTGTCTAGGTCATCAAGGCAAAAAAGCATAGCGTAGGGCCCTGAGTTTCCAAGCTCTCTCGTTGTTCGGTGCGTGTACCGGTAAATCCCGCCAGAGCGCCCCTACCTCCGCCACCCTTCGACTAGGACCGGGTAGGGAGGGGCGCATGGGCCAGTCATACTTGCCACATCTGGTGCTACATGTACATGAAAAAAGTACTCAACCTACGAAAACTGTGTGTGTGTGTGTGTGTGTGTGTGTGTGTGTGTGTGTGTGTGTGTGTGTGTGTGTGTGTCTCGTACACCGACCAAGGGTCAAGAGCAGGAAGTCATACAGACCCATCAGAACCCAGGGTTTGTGCGATCCCTGGTCAAGAGGGTGCGAACTGTTGCATACATTTCCAAACGGGTCGAGCACGCGTCTGCAGTGCGGTACGGCATCGCACTTCACAGAGTCATACGAGGATTCTCACTTCCGTGACAAGAAGTCAGGGAGGGGCGGATGGGAGAGACGGGGCGCTCTGGCGGGATTTTACGGTATATTATGCCTATGGCACTTCTGGTGTGTACACGTGCACGACATCATTCTTTAGCCGTACACACCAGGTACTTGGTACACCAGTTACAATCGTACAATCATGCTGAACAAAACGCAGATCCATGAATGGCAACACTAGCCATGTTGCACGATTAGAGTTGCAGTTGTATTCATCGAGAGGACGGTGGCGGGCAACAGGGGGTAATCTGGATAAGGTCTGGTTCATTGAGCTTTTCTCCAGGCATTTTTGCGATGAGGGATCAAAACAATTGATGAAATAGAAGTGAAGTTACGGTGGAAAACCTAGCAACTCGCGTTCACGATACATGTAAAGCAAAGTTAAAAGCTGTGTTCCCAACTGGCGCGTGGACGCGGTACGCTTCCGGTTCGTGTGTGCCCAAACGCGCCCACAGGCTTTCACAAAAAAACAGCAATCCGAGTCGCATTTAGGGCGTACGATGCCTTCGAGTACTAATTTTTTTGACCCCGCCAGTCAAAGCAACTGACATGTACGCTGGTACACGCCTGATACGTGCTGAAAATTCCAACATGTTGGAATTTCCATTGCGGTGCGTTTTCATACGCATTGCGCACCAAAAGCAGCAAAATACGCACAAACGTGTGGTTTCACGCGTACACGCGCCAGTTGTGAACACAGCTTCAGTTATTTAATTTAATTTGACCTGCATTGATGTTTTTTTATTAATAGTATTATTTTTTACAATGATCACTGCTCACAGGCAAAGACAAAAATTCCATAGTGGGAGCATAGTGATGGCCGCATATGGCGAGGCTTTGGTGGTGCTGTCAACAAGCAGTGGCATGGCAAGGGCAGATAGAGCAGTGTATCACCAAATTGCATCTGTGTGAGCTGGGATGAGGAAGGGGCAGTACTCTCTCAAGCGCTATTGTACGTCCGGTGTAAACTGTCATTTCGGGTTGTGCATAATGGGTATGTGGTGGTGTGAAAGGGGTATTTTTAGTGAGCAAGCGATTCAACAGGCATCCAAAATCAGCTGAGCTTGTTGTCGTCAAGGCCAGGCTTCTCGCACAGGAAAACTTGATCAACGTCAATTGCCGCAAGTTCAAATATTCGAGAAAAAAAGTTTCCTTGAGACAAAATGCTGCTACACTTTGAAGAAGAACACAGGTCGGGTTCAGGAACAACAAGTTTGGAAAGTTTTCACAGAGGCATCAACTCTCTACCATACCTGGTCATTGACCTTGATCGTTTGCCCTTGCCTGCCTTCGACCTGGCGAGAAGGCTTGGAAGAAGACTCACGGAAACTTTCGAAATGCTGTTCAAGAATACGAAATGCATCCTTCTTCTAACTGTCACTTCAAATATTATAATGGTAAACCTGTTTGCATCTTTCCCTCGAACCAATGACCAAGCACAGGACATACTCTTTACATGCAATTGTGATGATTCAGCAGCTTTCTTTTGCCTCAGGCTCAGATTTGTGCAAATTATGTTGTCTGATGATTGCCTATGAGTTGATAAATATGGTGGTAAAGACACACCTGGCAATATGGCGGTAAACACACGCCTGCAGTGGTGTCTTCAACTTCATTGCCTATGAGCATGAAACTGTTAGTTACAGCGAACGATGCGTGGTGCTCTATGCCGTGTGTAAGATAGCTCTATTCGAACGAACATTGAGCATTCTACCGAGCTGGAGGACTCTCATTTTTGTGCAAATTATGTAAACAATAGTGCGGTGTCGTGTTGTGGCAGAAGCCTCATGCAGCACAACACCAAATGGGAAGAGGCCAGGCACCAAGGCATGGGTTCATATGCATAGGTACGGATGTTATCAAGCATCACCGCCCGGTTTCATGCGGAACATGACTTACTGCAGCAAAGGTTGACGCAGGCTGATGTCAAATAACTGCAGTTAAACTTCGGACTGGAAATCAAACACAATGCGCACACACATGCACAAGCACACACACATACGCACACACACACACACACACACACACACACACACACACACACACACACACACACACACATATACGCATGCACACACACACACACACACACACACACATACACGCACGTACACATCAACGTGAGAAATAGGCGATTGGGCAGTGACCCGAAAGTCCGTTTTAAAATGGATGCAGTGGTCAGAAATCGGTTCAGTGGCTACTGGCAGTGACAGTTCCTGACTAGAACAGATCCGGTTCAGTGGCTACTGGCAGTGACAGTTCCTGACTAGAACAGATCCGGTTCAGTGGCTACTGGCAGTGACAGTTCCTGACTAGAACAGATCCGGTTCAGTGGCTACTGGCAGTGACAGTTCCTGACTAGAACAGATCCGGGTTCAGTGGCTACTGGCAGTGACAGTTCCTGACTAGAACAGATCCGGTTCAGTGGCTACTGGCAGTGACAGTTCCTGACTAGAACAGATCCGGTTCAGGTGCTACTGGCAGTGACAGTTCCTGACTAGAACAGATCCGGTTCAGTGGCTACTGGCAGTGACAGTTCCTGACTAGAACAGATCCGGTTCAGTGGCTACTGGCAGTGACAGTTCCTGACTAGAACAGATCCGGTTCAGTGGCTACTGGCAGTGACAGTTCCTGACTAGAACAGATCCGGTTCAGTGGCTACTGGCAGTGACAGTTCCTGACTAGAACAGATCCGGTTCAGTGGCTACTGGCAGTTCACAGAAGCTTTTTTGCGATGCGAAACGCGATGCGACGCGATCTGCGACGGACGCGTGCGATGCGAACTCGCAAAATACCATTCACAGAAGAAGTCAGTGATCTTGCTGATTTGGCTACGTCACCATGATATTCGCGCGGTTTGATACAACTTGTACAAATTTATAGGCAACTCTTGGTCTTTGTGGTCCACTTCACAACAATAACACACACAGAAGTCTCTGCTGTGAGCACGGTGGCTCGGCAATGTAAGTTAATAATAATAATAATAATAATAATGATACAAAAAGCTTACGTTGAGATAAAAATGTAATCAACGCAATAAATAGAGTAAGCTGCGCACTCAGTACAAACACCATTAGCAAAACTTGTTTTCATGTAAATATTCTAAGCTTGTTCCTAAACGTTTTCGTCGCCATCTCATCAGAGGATTACTGGCAAATCAAAATTAGCTCTAATTTTGATTTGCCAGTAATCCTCTGATGAGATGGCGACGAAAACGTTTAGGAACAAGCTTAGAATATTTACATGAAAACAAGTTTTGCTAATGGTGTTTGTACTGAGTGCGCAGCTTACTCTATTTATTGCGTTGAATAATAATACAAGTAATGTTTCCGTAAAACTCTCAGACTCCATTGCACCGTAGTTTTCACATCGGAAAATATCTCCACTGAAATATTGGCATTAAAAAATCTATTCGATGCAGCTGAGAGCCTGTTATGTACAGTGTGCAATGGAGATATTTTCCGATGTAAATACAAGTAATAATAATAATAAGTGGGTTGTCAGAAAGACTAATCGCGCTGCACACAACATACGCACTGAATACTTGGCGTAGATCCACACCCAGTGTACAGGTATTTTGGCAACAATCCAGAAGTTCCATGGAGATTTTTGGTGGTCTAATCGCTTACACCAACAACAGTGATGCTGTGTACTACATGTTGCTGTTGTTGTTGAATTCTTTATTCTCACGATGGCACCATCGCCAATAAGAGATAAATTTATGAGAAGGTGAGATTGTGGGTTAGACAGTTGGAAAGTGATTTACATCACTTTGAACTTAACAAGTATGGGAGAGGGTGAGCGCTGCAGGAGCAGATTGAGTTAATCAGCAGTGAGCAGATTTCTTGTTTGAAAGCAGGTCGGGAGGAGACGTCACGAATGCTAGCAGGGAGGGCATTGTAGTATTCTAGGGACTTGTACAGTGGGGAGTCTTTACAGCGATCGGTTCTGGAGGGTGGGAGGTGCCAAGTGCGTGCGTGTCGAAGGCTGTACTGGGCCGTAACTTGAGCGGGGGTGTTGAGCAAGCGTATGTGTTGTGGGGCATATTGGTATTTTATGGAGTGAGCAAGAAGGGTGAGCTTCACTTTGCGGCGAGAGAACATTGTCGGCCATTTGAGCCGATGGAGCAGTGTTGAATGATCCAGAGGAGTGTAGAGGGGGAGACGGAGGCAGATTCTGGCCGCCTTGCGCTGGATTCGCTCAAGACGGTCAAGGGCTGCGATTGAGAGCGGGGTGACAGCAATGCATGCATATTCAATTATGGGCAGGATATACGTTTTGTAAATGAGAGAGAGTGATTTAGTGTGTAGAGTTGATTTGAGCCTTAAGAGAATATTAAAAGATTTTACAGCTTTCTTTAGCACAAAGTCAAGGTGGGCTGACCATCTTAGGTCGTGCTGAAAGATGATGCCGAGGTGACGATGTTGTGTTACTGTTTCTAGTAGGGTTTGGCCAAGTTTTATTTCGGGTAGTCGTGGTGGGGGTCGGTTAGCATGGTAGAACGGGAGGATGACGGTTTTCGTTTTATTGACTAGCAGGTGCCAGCGCTCTAGCCATTCTGCTGCGGCATCGACGCTTCTTTGTAGCGCAGCCTCACACTCAATGTAGCTGCCTGCAATGGCAATCAGTGCGGTGTCGTCCGCGAACTGGCTACACGAGGTTGTAGCATTTTCACAGGCAGTGGGCAGGTCAATGGTGTACGCCAGGAACAGAAGTGGTCCCAGGACCGAGCCCTGGGGCACTCCCGCTGGTATTGGTATGAAGGCGGATGTTGTGCCTTCAACCTGCAACCTGCAACCTGCGTCCTGTCAAGTAGGCTTCGAGCCAATTGTGAGCCTTGCCGTCAACACCGTAGTGGCTCAGCTTTTTCAGTTGTTGTTGTTGTTTCAAATCTTTATTCTCACGATAGCCAGTGGCCAATAAAAGATAATAGTGTAAGAAAGGAGAAAGAGTGAGGAAGAATTGGGTGGGCAGGGCCTAGGGGTTAATGACTACTTTGTTGTTGTTGTTGTTGTTGTTGTTGTTGTTGTTGTTGTTGTTGTTGTTGTTGTTGTTGTTGTTGTTGTTGTTGTTGTTGTTGTTGTTGTTGTTGTTGTTGTTGTTGTTGTTGTTGTTGTTGTTGTTGTTGTTGTTGTTGCTGTTGTTGTTTCAAATCTTTATTCTCACGATAGCCAGTGGCCAATAAGAGATAATAGTGTAAGAAAGTTGTTGTTGTTGTTTATTTTACTTCACCAAATGAACAGGCAGAGATGCCTTCTCACCTGCCCATAGGACAGGTTCTCACAGAATGATGAAGGGATGATATGCAAGGGAAAACAAGAAATGGCCCGCGATCTGCTAAAACCACCCTTCGGTGCTGTGTAATTTTTCGGAGAAAATGATGAAAACGTCAGCACGTCTCGATTTTCTCATCATCGCAGGTGACAGTCATGGCGGAAGGAAGACGAAGGCGCTCGTTGGCACAAATTGTTGTCGGATTCTCGGCAGCGGAGTAGTCAGCACTGCTAAATGACGAAAGATCGTTCTTTGGGTGGTCAGATCAAGATTCTGACGACCAGAGCGATGACGAATCGACCGATGCCTCTCCGCTCGTGACCCTGCCGATCGCGCTTACGATCGATGCGGAGGAGAACTTGGACGCGGCGCCAGCGCTGCAGCCAGCACAAGCCCTCGCCGCCGGAGGACAGGGCCAACCTAAGAAATCCCGTGCCCAGGCGGCGCCCAGAACTGTTGAAGAGGTACAGGCGCGAGTAGACAAGGGCTGCAGTTGTGCCGGTGTCAACTGTTTCAAGAACGTGTCACCGGATACTCAACTCACTGCACGCAACACAACACTCGCACTGACGAACGAGGAGCTGTACTGTTACGTCGCTGGAAAGCTCGATGTGTTGAGACGACACGGGGCAGTTACTTCTCACCATGGAAGCATTGCACATCGGATGCAGCGCCGAGAACAGTCATCGCTATGAAGTGGATTGTGGCGAAGTGTGCCAGACTGTTTTCAAGGACGCACATTATGTAAAGGAGTGGAAGCTAAAGGCGGATGTCTATGAGCGCTGGAGCATGCTGTTGCTCTCCCTCAGCACGCATGTGAGGGTACTTTGCCCTGGAATGCACTGACTGCAGATGAAGTGTCTGACATCAGGCAGTTCATCCACCACTATGGTGACATCAATGGACTTCCCCAGCCTGCTGCCCCCAAAGGCCGGCTCCTACTAACCTGCTAGTGCCATGTGCTACTACCAAGAAGCATGCGCATATTGAATATATCAAGGCTGGAGGAACAGTAGCATACACAACATTCCTGAAAATATGGAGCAGCGAGTGCAGTGATGTGATAATTATGAGACCAAAAGAAAATGCGTGCGGTGTATGTTCCGATCTGCAGTCTCAGATCGTAAGGGCAAGATCGACAGAAACTCGCTTAAAGCACACTGACGCACTCAAAGCTCATATTGAAGAAGCTAATGTGGCACGTGACCTTTATCAAAGTGTATTACTGCCTGGCATCTGATCATCTGCCAGTGACGCTCCAGACGGCTGGAATCTCACCACAACGTGCAAAGTACTTGCACCAACAGATTCGTCAGCACTGCCACCCAGAGAGCAGAGATATCACCTGCCCAGCACCAGATCAAGCAGACCAAATGTCCTAATTATTTGTTCGGAACATACATAGTAGAATACTGGATAACTGTGAAAAAGAGTTTTTCTCTGTACATAGACAGGTGTATGGCAGGTGTATGAAGCCTCAGATACGAAATATAGTGTGAATATCAATTATTTTCGGCATTTTAATGCACCAAGAGCTTTCATAAGATGGGTCATATATCAATGAATATATACAATTTGAGCCTAATACTTCACCATATGTTCGGGCAATGGCCAGGGACCAACTTCCCGCCAAAAACTCATTTTCGGCAAAATAGCAGCAAAGGGTGGTTTTAGCAGA